GGAACAGCAAGTGCTCCTAACCACTGAGCCATCTCTCCAGTCCACTAAAGCGCTTCCTGCCACTCCGTTCCTTCCATACCATCTACCGTGCTCTGCCCCTCTTTAAAACCCAGCCCCAGGACCTCGAGGAGTTGCTGCTTCTTTCCAAAGCTTTGTCTGCTCAGGTTTACGCTGTTTTCCCATTCATCCAGAATCTTACTTTGTTCTCGTTTATGGCTTCCAGGTTAACTTTCCATGTGTGCTCTGGGATGATTTCTCCTCTTGTAGTCACTGACTCAATTTTAAGTGGTCTGTGTCTTCCAGGACAGTGCTAGACCTCTAATCTCTGACCACCCGTTAAGTGGGCTGTGCCAGCCATCTTTCAGCAAGTCTCTACCACAGAGGTGTTTTCCATTTCTTACTATTTCCTTTATGTTAATACTCACTTACTTTGGCTAGATCTTTTGATTAACATTGTTCTTTTCTCTGTCAGGACTTGGGACAGCTTCCCTCAGGGGCTGCTTGGAAGACATGAGTGAAAACCCATGGAACATCAGCTGTGGTATTGGTGCAAGTCTATAGTGTTAAGGGCAATGAGTGTGTGTATGAAAGACCACACATGGTTTTGTTCACAACTCTATTTCTTTAGCAAGTGCCTTGTTTACGAGTGAGGTGTAATAATTATAGGCTGAATACAAGAATGGGTGGATGGACACTGCCAAGACCAGCTGGTGAATCACTTGTAGAAAAGGAACTGATTGTCAGAATCAAGGAGATGACTTCCGATGTTACCCTTCCTTCCATCATGTTCGGCCATCACTGAGCCAGTCAAGTCTCACAAGTGGAATGGTACACTCCAAATCCCCAAAGGACCAGGGAGGGTAGTGTCATTTTCTGAAATGTCTCCTGTTCTAGCTCAGCAGTACTTGCTCCTCGGACTGGTGAGGTGTGTTTTCCTGTGTGGATCCATGTGAACTTTTGAAATTATATGAGCAGGTCACATATGTAGTGAGTACTCATAAGTGACCAATATGTGATGCTTTGATTATAAAGACAAAACCTGACTTCTCATATGATTAAATCATCAATTTTTCTAAATTATGTTTTCTTAAAAGTATTTTCCTCGTCTATTCATTATGTAATAGAATGCAGAAGGGGCGGCTGTAGTTATTTGACGCCTGCGCATACTTACCACAAGGTGGCAGTATAGCAGTCCCTACTTGCTTATTAGGACTATAGCAATCACTTGCATGTGGAATTTTTTCCTACTTCAAGTTTCCATAAAACCATACCCATATGTCCTAATTTGCACCTAAGTATACTTTAAAAAATGAAATATGGAACCACATATTCATACTCATGAAAAAGCAGTCGTAAACTTGTTCCTTTTATGTTAAGACAAGTATTCTGTTTTCTGTCTAGCCCTTAGTTCCTCACACATGAACATTATATAGTGATAAAGAAGCAAGTTTGTGTGAGTGGGCAGAATATAATTTACAGCATGTTAATATAACTTCTATGGGATTGCATAAAAATACTTCACTTCATAAGTTATGCCCTTCTTGTCGACAAGACTCTAAGTGGTTCTGGGCTGGGATGGCAGAGAAGCCGGAAGCAAGTTCTCTGAGACTGGAAGGAGCAGACGCACAGGGAACTATCAGCTCTCATCTTCTGGTTGCAGATGGTTACCGAGCACCAACTGGCCCCATTTTATTGTCTAAAGGCTGATTTTTGCCTTTTAAGAGTTTACAATCCAAACACATAACCAGAAAAAATGCAAATATGTGACAAGACACTCGTTAGGAGAGGAAGGGGAGTCGGGGAGAGGAACGTTGATTTTTGTCTTTCCATGTGGAGACAGACAAGAATAAGAACAGGACCACCGAAAATGGACAAACGATCATGGAAATAATGAGACTGAGTTTCTGTTTCAGCTCTGTCCCATGCAGTTCTGGCTGCCTCAGTTTCCTCACACGTACAAGGAAATGCTGGCCTTGGGTCTTGGCCTTAAAAACATTAACAAAAATAAGTTCAGCTAAAAGTTGATGTCAATGAGTAGACTTCAAAGATTTGCGTTGAATGTGGAAAGCAAATTCTATGGTGTCTCATTCTTTGTCTCTTCCTCAGAATTAATTACAGCGTATGCTACCTGCAAAGGTCTGTGCGGCCTGCGAATACTTGGTTTAGCTTTCTTTAATTTGATGTCTCAAGCTTCATTTAACCACATTTTCTTCATTTACTTTTTTGTACATTGAAACTTGATGTTTCAAGCTTCATTTAACCACAATTCCTTCCTCCACCCAAGCCATGAAACACTAATTGACAGCAGATAAATGTTAATGGCCCTGGTGGATAATTTGGGTCTTTAAAGACTCTTCCAGGGCCAGTAGGGGTGAGATGGCTTGATGGATAAAGCACTGACAACAGGGGCCTGATGTCCTGGTTCTGATGCTCAGAACCAACTGGAAAGAGAACTGTTGCCACAGGGTTATCTTCCCACTTCCCTGTGTGTGGTGTACCATGTGGTATGCCTCCCCCTACAAACCACACACACACACACACACACACACACACACACACACACACACACACACACCACGACGACGACGATGACGACGACAACGATGATGATGTTAATGATGATTTTTTTAAAGGACTCTTCCAGCTACAGGATTCTAGGGGGGAAACTCCAGGAGGGCAGAAACCCATGCCTGAACTCTTTATCCCTAGTGTTGACATGGAGAAAGTGATCAACATTTGAAAATCCCTAAATGAACTCCATCAGTAGAGGCTTTCCTCCCTTTGAAGTTGTGTACATATAATTTTTAAGCAAAGAACTTTTTCTTAGATCTGAAAACTGCAGGGAAATTGTGCAAACAGGCCTTGTTGGACAATGTAGAAGTGTGATTGTCTGGAGTATTTGACCCCTAATAGAACTGGTTTCCATTTCCTCCTGTTTTTTATGAGGTGAAGTCTTATGTAGAATCCTATGGGGGGGGGACAGCAAAACAAAACCAGTGGGTGGGAAGCATCTGCCAGTTCCATTCTGAAAATCAAAAAGGAAAAGAGTCCCAGGATGGGAGAGAATGAAGTCTTGAAGTGACCAAAAGGCATGTGAAGAGAATTTATAGAAATGGCCGTTTCCAGAAAAAAGAGGACGTTGTGACCAAGTAGTTGTCCCCAAATCAGGAAGCTTAAGAAACTGATCCCCCTAAGGCAGAGAAATGACAGCAGGTACTGCTAGAATACAGTGGGCATCTGAGTCGGAATGAAAACACTCACGTGTGCGTTACCATGGTCTGTATATGTGAAGATTCTGTTAAAGGAAGAACTTTCTCAGGGATGAAATGACACCATTCTACCATTAAAGGCACATTAACAGGAAGGTCAACACATTTACACAGCATCCAAATGCTAGGACTACTATTGTAGAGTGTGCTCTCTCTGCCTGTGACGCCTTGGGCTGAGGTGAGCTCTGGAAGGTGTCTGCTGGAATGCATCGTGTGACTAGAGGGGCAAGGACACCCTGACCATGGGACTTACTCCTCCTCACCACACTGCCTAGACAGGGTCCCAGGAACGCTTCTGGGTGAAGAGGAACCGAAGTGTGGGATGCTCCGCTCTGGACTGCAGGAGCCCTGGAGGTTAGCAGAGAGGACCCGAGGACGCCGAAGGTGGAGGCACTGAAGGTGTAGTAGAGACAGGAGGTTTGGGAGACACTAAAGTATGTTTCATCCACTTTATAACTTTGTTCGCGGCATGTATAAAAAGACACGATATTAGGTCGAAAACAACATGACTTGGAAGATAGCCCAGTGTTCCCGTTTCTGTTTTATATCAACTGTCTTGTCTAATTAACTTGTGTGCATCTTACAATAACATATCAGTATTTATAATTATCTGTACATGCATGTACAACAGTTATATTTAGTAGCATACAAGTACATTTGTAATTATTCGAGATAAAACTCAAAGTATAAACTTATTTGTATAATTTTTTCTTCCTAATATTCCTATGTCTTTTTTCTTTTCCATTTAAAAGGGTTTATTATCCTTGGTTCTGTAAGCCAATTTTATCAAGTGAAAAATGTGCTTTCCTATGTTCTGCCAGATACCCACCACCCTTCCTTCTCGTCCTGCCTCTCCTGCTTCACATATGCTTTCATATTACCTGCATGTAAATGATTTTATGCATCTATAAAAAATCTAGGACCCACAAATGAGACAAAACATTCAATATTTGCCTTCCGAAGACTGATTTAATTCACTTACTATGATTATCTCTACCCACATTCATTTTCCTACAAACAGCCTAACTTTAATCTTTATGGCTGAAAACAATCCATTTTGTGTATTATCTACATTTTCTCCACCCGTGCCTCTGATATGGACGTTTAGTACGGTCCTATACCTCAGCGGTTGTGTCTAGGGATGTAGTAAACACTCATGTGCAGGTGTCTCTGTGGTGCGTTGACTCAGTCTTTTGGGTAAATAAATGTCCAGTATGCAGGATTGGTGAATCTGGGTTGTAGTGTGTGTGTGTGTGTCTGTCTGTCTGTGTGTGTCTGTGTGTGTGTCTGTGTGTGTGTGTGTGTGTCTGTCTCTGTGTATGTGTGTGTCTGTGTGTGTGTCTGTCTCTGTGTCTGTGTGTGTGTAGCTAAGGAGCAAACTCAGGGCTTACTGCATTAAATCTACCACTGAGCTACATCCCCAGCCCCAACAGTTTTTGTTTTTTTTGTCTTCCCATCAACGTCACTAGGCATACTTTTATAGTTTGTTTTACAAAAGGAAAACATATTTTACTATTTTTCTCAAAATAGAATTTAAATTATATTACTAAATTTCTAAATTTTAGGACACACTTCAATTATTGTTTTCATTAGCTTTAGATAGTTAACAGCTCCTTTGTTGGAGTTTGCTCTTTATTTTCTTCCCTAAATCTCTCTCTCTCTCTCACCCCCCCACCTCTCTCTCTTACACACACACACACACACACACACACACACACACACACACACACACACGTTTGACATTTTATTTAACATGTTAACAAAAGAGAACTAGTAAAAAGAGACCAAAGCCCCCATCACGATCAGACTCCTTGGATTCTTTGCTTCTGCTTTCTCCTCCTCAGCTGGGGCAGCAGTGGAGGAGGCAGGACACCTGCTCGGGTGACTCTAGCTGCCGGAGCAGATCCACGAGTCCCTACACTGAAGATGAGGCTCCAATGTGGTCAGCGCCTTTGCAAACAAACAGGACAGAAAGGCTCAGCACTGTCGCCAGCCGCTTTAATGAGGGCATTGATTGTATCCTCCACGACCGACCGTCCTGTCTTGCAAGATGAGGGCAGAGGGAGGCAAGCTCAGAGATGGAGGATATGGTGCAGACTCTGGCATGGTGCTGGTTGGCAGTCTTCACCCCAGTGCAGAAGGACCGAGCTGCGTGGTGACAGCTAAGGAAAATGCTGCCCTCTTTTCAAGTCTCCTTTGAGAATGGCTCCTCTTGCATCCAGCTTCCCACCACTCACCCTGTGAGCTGCGTTCACAGTGGAGCTTTGGACCTTCTAAGACTCTTCCTCTCCCTTCCATGGTTTACCAAGTAGCATCTCCTATAGTACAGGCCTAGAAATATGGGAGTCTGTGTTTTCTATTACACCTAGAAGTGTAAGAAGATAATCAACTTACCATTTTTTTGTAAATTTTTTAAAACTGAAAATAGATTCTTCTCTCATACAATACATCCCAACCACAGTTTCCTCCCTTCCCCTCCTCCCAGCTCCCTGCCACCTCCCCTCTTCCATAGATGATTTCTTCTCTGTTTCCTCTTCAGAAAAGAGCAGGCTTCCAAGAGATGACAGACAAACAGGACAAAACAAGACACAATGAGATGAGGCAAAAGCCCTCGTATCAAGGCTGGACAAGGCGACCCAATAGGAAGAAAATAGTCCCAGGAGCAGGTAAGAGTCAGACACACACCCACTCCCACTATTAGGAGTTCCACAAAAACTCTAAGCTAACAACCATAATAGATATACAGAAGACCTGGTGCAGACCCATGCAGGCCCTGTGTTTGCCATCTGAATCTCTGTGAGCTCATATGAGCCCTGATTAGTTGATTTAGTGCGCCATGTTCTCCTGGTGTCCTCCATGCCCCCCTAACTCCTACGATCTTTCCTCCTCTTCCATGGGGTTCCCCAGTCTCTGAAGAGAGGGACCTGATGGAAACCAATTTAGACCCTCTCTTTGCATAATGTCTGGCCATGGGTCTCTGCATCCTCTCCGATCTGCTGCTGGAGGAAGCCTCTCTGATGATCTCTGAGTATAGGAGAATATCATTAGGAATCATTTCATTGATTTTTTTTTGGCCAGTTGTGTTTGGTTCTACCCTATCTTGTCTCTGGTTCCTGGCCATCCAGGCAGTGTAGGCAAGGGATCCCTCTTGTGGGGTGGACCTCAAGTTAAACCAAACATTGGCTGGCCACTCTCAGAAGTTCTGAGCCACCATTGTCCCAGCACATCTTACAGGCAGGGCAGACTGTTGACGGAGGGTTTGTGGCTGGGTTGGTGTCCATGTTTCTCTTTTAGAAGCCTGCAGAGTGCATTCTCATGCCAAAGAGACTGGAATGTGGGGGCAAGGACTCTGAGCCCACACTCTCTATGTTCAATGAGCTGAGTGGAAGTTGGCCTCAGCAATGGGGTCCCAGTGTCAGCTTCTCAGTCACCCTCTGTCCCAGCATTAGTCTGGGTTATTTAGGGATCTCCACAGAACCTCCTCAGCCAACAACTCAACTGAATGCAACCCAGTCCTGGAAGCCTTGTTTGGTTACAAAAGATGGCCAGCTCAGACTCCATATCCTCCATTGCTAGGTGTCCTCACTAGGGTCACCCTCATAGATTCCAGGAAGTTTCCACTGCACTAGATTTCCACATCACTCTCCAGGTTCCCCCAATTCCAACTGTCCCTTCCCAGACTCTCTACCTCCATACCTCAACCTGATCCTTCTGGCTCCCATCCTCACCCACTCCCAGTCCACCCTCAGAATCTATTCTGTTTCCCTTTTCCAAGGATATCCATGTGTCACCCCCATAGCCCACCTCTTTACCTAACTTCTCTGGGTCTGTGTACTGTAGCATGATTATCTTTCACTTAACAGCTAATATCCACATAGGCGTGCATACTATGCTTGTCTTCCTGGGTCTGGGTTATCTCACTCAGGATGACTTTTTCTAGTTCCATCCATTTGCCCCAAAATTTGATGATGTCGTTTTTTTAAAAATTGCTGACTTATACTCCATTGTGCAATGTACCACATTTTCTTTATCCATTCTTTGCTTGAGGAGCATCTAGGTTTTTTCCAGTTTCTGGCTGTTATGAATAAAACTGCTATGAACAGAGTCGAGCAAGTGTCCTTGTGGTAGGATAGGGTGTCCTTTGGGTACATGCCCAAGAGAGGCATAGCTGGGTCCTGAGGTAGGTTGACTCTCAGTTTTCTGAGGCGCCATCATATTGATTTCCATAGTGGCTGTACAAGGTTGCATTCTCACTGGCAATGGCAGAGTGTTCCCCTTGCTCCACATCCTGGTGTGCATGACAAACACTGTCTCTCAATGAGAAAAACAGAAATGGGCCTGCAGTCGCTGCCCTGCAATTGCATATAACCTGCAGCCACAGTACTTCTATCGAGAACTGATGGATGGGGTTCTGACTGACTGCAGTGATTATAACTGTCTGCTTACTCAGTGGTTCCTCTTGACTGTCAGCTTGATTGGATATGGGATAAAATAAGAGCCTTCTGAGGAGGTCCGTGCCGAGGAAGGCTGTGCTGCTGCACCTGCCTGAGCTTCTTGCTAGCAAGTGCATCTGCTCTGCTGCTGCTGCTGCTGTCCTTCATTACACTGGAACCCAGCTTCTTCGGCCTTATAATGTGGACCTGAAGGCTACTTGCCCTCCTCTAGCAGCAGACTGGGACTCTGATGAGTCCAGCTCCAGGGATGGAGACTCAGCCTCTCCACGTGCAGACAGCCATTGTCAAGCTTCCTAGTCTCTGCTTGTGCGGCCAATCTAATGAATCCCTTCTCACAATGTATGTTTATTCTTTGGGCTCTGCTCCTCCAGAGAACCCTGACTAACACACTGTCCCAATAAACACATTAATTTGAGTTTCACTATGTGCATACTCTTTGAAGGTCATGTGGAATTCACTTGTGGTACTTGCTGACTATGGATTGGGACTCTGTGTGTGTGTATGTGTGTGTATGTGTGTGTATATGTGTGTGTATGTGTGTGTATGTGTGTGTATGTGTGTGTATATATGTGTATGTGTATGTGTGTATGTGTATGAAACAGGGTCTTACTGTGTAGCCCTGGCTGGCCTGGAACTCGTAATTTACCCCATGCTGGCCATGAACTCACAAAGATCTGCCTGTCTCTGCCTCCCAAGTGCTGGGGTTAAAGGCATATTCTGCCCTTCCCAGCCAATCACTCATAATTTTAAGAGCACTCTATTGAAAATTTTCATCTGTTAAAATATAATTGAGTCTTAAATATTTGTTATTACATGGCTTATGATTTTTTTCATTTACAACTTACAAAAACAAATACTGATTCAACTCCAGTCGCAAACACCCATATAACATTTAGTATGTGGTGCTCTTGTTACAGAAAGACAAAGTCATATGCTTTTGAAGAGTAAATGGAGTATTACCAAATATGCATTTTGTTTACATAGTTAAAAAACTCCTGTTGTATACTTTAAAATATAATTAAAAATTTTATACATATGGGTGTTTTGATTGCATATGTCTATGCACCATGTGCATGCAGTGCCCACAGAGGCCAGGAGAGGGCGCCAGATTCCCTGGAACCTGAGTTACAGACGTTTGTGAGCCATTATGTGGGTGCTGGGAACCAAACCCAAGTCTTCTGAAAGAACAACCAGTGCTTTAATCGTGGAGCCATCTCACCAGCCCCTCAATTAAAGTATTTAAAACACAAGTATATATTCTTTTTTTTGTTTTTGTTTTTTTTAAAGATTTATTTATTTATTATGTATACAGAAGAGGGCGCCAGATCGCATTACAGATGGTTGTAAGCCACCATGTGGTTGCTGGGAATTGAACTCAGGACCTCTGGAAGAACAGTCAGTGCTCTTAACCTCTGAGCCATCTCTCCAGCCCCTACAAGTATATATTCTTATCTCTACTTTCTTTTTATTTATTCTTTGTGTCTTTCACATCATACATCTTGATCCTTGTAAGTGGAGTGTCTCTGTCCTGGAAGTTGCTCCCAAACAACCACACTGAGACATTATAAGCTATAAATGCTCAGCCAGTAATTTAGGCCTGTTTTCAGCTAGCTTTATAACTCAAATTAACACATTTCTATTAATCTATGTGCCGTTCTGAGGCTTGTTTACCTCATGTATGTACTTCCCATCCTGCTCGCTCTGTGTCTCATGGGGTCTCCTCCAACTCTACTCTTCTTTGCACTCTCCTTTTGTCTGCTAGTCCTGCCTAACCTCTACCTGCCCAGCTATTGGCCAGTCAGCTTCTTTATTAACCCAGTCACAGTGAAAATAGATCCACACAGTATAAAGGAATGTTCCACAGATCCCATTCATTTCTCTGTTCCTTCGTGCCCTCCCTTTGCCCTTGCAGCCCCCTTCCCCAAATAAAATAAAATAAAATTTAAGAGAAAAAAAGGAAAAATCAGTCTCATCATGGAAGCTGTAGTATGACACAGTGAGTCCATTTATTTTTACTTGCAAGTGTTCATTGCAAAGAGTCACTGGTTTGGGCTCTGGTTTCTGCTACACTGTCAATGCTGGGCCCTCACTGGGACTCCTCTTGGATGTCCTGTTGTTGCCCTGTGTCCTGGAGATCCTGCACTTTTGGGTCTGCAGGACCGGTCCCTTCATGCACCCCAGCAGATCATGGTTCCGGGTCTGGGTAGTTGCAGGGTTGGTCGCACTTCAGCTCTTCCCTGTCCTCACCACTAGGGGGAGCTCTCCTGCACTGCCCTCGATACTTCGCCCCTTGCAGCAGTGAGCAAGGGGCAGGCCAGTCCTGCTTTTACACCCTCAGGGTCAGCTCTCCCGTATCTACACCATCAGGGCCAGCTCTGCCGTGTTTCCCAGGAGAGGTACAGGGGCCACTCTCCTGAGTGCTGTAGCTGGTAAGGGGGAGGGTCAGCTCCCTCACCCACCACAGGTGGTAGGGGAAGTGTGGGGAGGGGGTCTTTCCCTTGACCTCACGTGGCCGATGAGGGGAGTGTGGCCAGCTAATCTACTCTCACACCCTCAAGGCCAGCTCACCCGAGCCTCCGCCAACAGGGTCAGCGCTACTGTGCTGCCCAGGCAAGGAGCAGGGTCCGGTTTCCTGAGTGCTGCAGCCGGTAAGGAGGGTCAGCTCCTTCGTCTGCATCAGGGTTGTGAACTCAGACATGGGCCCCATAGCCCCACAGCAGCCCGGACACCACCACGGCCCTGGGTAGCAATCAAGCCACCAACCTCAGCCCACACCTCACTGCTTTCACCTCTTCAGATAAGGTTCAGAGACATGAACCATTCTGTCTCTCCCTCCCACACCACACAAAGCACTTGCTCACCATACTAGTGCCCGTCTGCCCAGCACCTTGGCCTGTATTTTCTCCTTGAAGCCTGCAGACTGCTGCAGGCCTGTGCGTGGGTCTCCTTGTCCCACAGTCTCTCCTGGTACCGAGCAGGACCTGCTTCCTTCTCCAAGTATATATTCTTAATGTCAAGGTAAAATGTTCATCTTCACCTAATAGGAAATGACTATACTCAAATATGTACGTGGTCTGCTTGTTACGGTTTACTTTACATACAAATATTACTTTGGGTGAAAGAGGACGCTTTATACTGTCTTTGATTGCTTCAAAGACCCAAGTGTTTTGTAAACTTTCCAACATTTGAAACAGAAAGAAATTCAAGTAAAAATCAGTCTTCAGGAAGGAAAGCTAATAAAGCATCAGTATCCAATATACATTATTTATATCAGTATTTGTGATGATTGTCTGCAATTATGATGATTTCACTGTTATTCACCCTAGTCAAATAACTAAAAATCAGGAAGTACCCACATTTTCATTTATTAAAATCCTACAACTTTGGTGGTTCAAATGGTAGATTCAATTTTATACAAAGATTTGTTCTTCAGTTTTAGGTTCTTACAGGTGTACTTAAGATACTTCGTGTGATGTTGAGTGACAGACAAGACTGCATCACCCATGTATAGAACCGACTACGTGTGCATTGTAGGCACAGCTGTGACTTCATTCCTCCTCCCGGGACGTCCATGGCCCCATCTCAGCCTGTGAATATACTGCCTTACTTGGAGAGGGGTACTCCACTAACAAGACTAGCTTAAGGAGAATGACCTGGATTCTCTGCAGCCTGGGTGTCATTACAAGTGTATTTGTCATTAGAAAGCAAAAGGCTCACAGTCAGAAAAAGGAGCCGGCAACAAAAATAGAGGTTGGGACAATGCATTTTGGAGACGTAAGAAAGGATCACAAGGAAGGGCCATTGAAGCTGGGACAGCAAGTGCAGATTTTACTGGAACTTCCAGAAGGAATGCAGCCCTGCTAATAACCCACTTTTAGTCCAATTGTTACATTTGTGGTGATTTTTTTTTTAAAAAAAGAACAAAAGAAATTAGTATGTGTACCATGGTCTCAGTTTCCCCTCTTCATGGGCATCCCTTAGAGTTCCATGGTGAAGCAGAAGGTGAAGCTGGAATTGACCAATCACAATTCAAATCTTGATTTTGTTACTTCCTGTCTGGTTGACCCTAAGATTTTTAGCTTCCTTGGTCCTGATTTTCTTCATCAAGAGAGGGAGTTGACTCATCCATGTCTGTTGTTGCTCTATACATAACAGTAAAAAATTAGAAACAGCCTAGCATCAGTAGACAAGTAGATAAAGAAAATATGGTACATTTACACAATGGTATATTATTCAGCTCTTTAAAAAAAATCATGGAATTCACAAGCACATGGACGGACGGCGTTAGAAAGTGTCATCCTGAGTGAGGTAACCCAGACCCAGAATGGCAAATATTGTATGAATTCTCTCATATGGGATGTTAGCTTTAAGTCTTCTATAGGCATCTACTATCTGAATAGCCACAGAGGTTAGGTAGAGAGTAAGGGACTGGGGAGAAGGGAGGCTCTCCAAAGGAAAGGGAAATAGAATATATTTCACACTGTTACATCTAACTGAGCTGTTGGCCAAAGGGGCCCTATGAAAAACTGCAAATAACTCAGGCTATTGCCGAGGTTATTAGTTGCTCTCTACAAACTGGTGGTAAGGTCCTCTTGTTGAAGACATTTACATATCTCATTGAGCATGGAGAAATCAAGCTGCTGTCTAACTAGACCCATCACCCCCATTGACTAGTTCATGGTACTGGGAGGTACTCTGCACACTAGCAGAGGAGACAGGTGACGTCGACCCAGCTACAAACCCTTTGATCTACAACAGTGACCTGCCTGCAGAGATGCTGGCACAGTGGCGGCACAAACATTGTGGGAGTCACCAACACGATCTGATCCAGTTTAAGGGTCCCTCCATGAGATGGAACCATGCCTGACACTGCTCAGGAGACCAGAAACGTGAGACTGGGAAGGTTATGGACCTAGGAGAAAACTGAATGCCGTTGTTAAGCTAGAGGAACATAGCAATAAATGCCCCGATTCTGCTATACCCACAGACCAAAGGCTCACTCACCCTCATCAAAGAAGCTTCCTCCTGCTGCAAATAAGAATTAACAGGGTAATGTTCAGAGACTGAGAGACTTTGGAGCACTCAGTCCTAAATGAGAAGTTGTGGTGATTTGAAAGAAAATGGCCCCCAAAGAAAGTAGCACTATTAGGAAGTGTGTCATTGTGGAGGTGGGTTTTGAGGTCTCAAAGCCACACCCGTGTGTTAGATTCAAGATAAAGCCACACCCAGTGTCTCAGACCACTTCCTGTTGCCTGTGAGTCAAGATGTAAGGACTCTCAGCGCCTGCTCCAGCACCATGTCTACCTGCATACCACCATCTCACACCATGATGAGAAAGGACTAAACCTCTGAAAATATAAGCCACCACAATTCAACGTTTTTTTTTTTTCTTTATAAGAGTTGCTGTGGTCATGGTGTTTCTTCACAGTGATAGAAACCCTAAGACAGAAGTTGGTACCAGGGACTGGAGTATTGTTGTGATAAGCCTGACCATGCTTTTGTTTAAGGGAATATGGACCTGGGACTAAAAGCATTGAATGCTTTAAATGCTGTTTGATGGGCCATCCTAGTAGGAGCATGGAAGACAGTAGTGCTGAGGGTGATTTGAACTTTGGGGGCCTGGCTCAAGAGGTTTCAGAGGAGAAGAATGTTAATATGTGGCCTGGAGATCTTTCTTGTGGTATTATGGTAACAAATGTGGATGCTTCTTGCCCTTGTCTGCAGAGTCTGCCAGAGGCTAAAGTGAAGAGATTTGGATTAACTCCATTGGCAGAAGAAATTTAAAAACTGCCTGGTATAGACTCTGCTGTGTGGTTATTAGTGTTAACTCTAATAAAGATTTATAATGGAAAGGAACAAAATGAGCAGGGTAAATTACAAAATGTAGGATTTAAGGAGAGAAAGAACACCATAAGTAGAATGGAACTAAGCCCTGTGTTCAAGGAGATAAACAGAATAAGAAATGGAATAAAGGGAGTGGTGTCTTCAGCACCAGATCCCACCCAGCTAAGCTTCCAATTTGTAAAAAGGCATTAAAGAAAAGCTTAGAGCTTGGTATGGTGGCACAAGCCTTTAATCCCTGGCATTCCAGAGGCAGAGGCTGGTGCATCTCTGAGTTTGAGGCCAGCCTGGTCTACAGAGCAAGTTTCAGGACAGCCAAGCTTAGGCAGTGAAGGACAGAAAGCTGGTGAAGATATAATTGATGAGGTCATGTTCCAGCCCCTGTTAGCAAGAAAACTTGGTAGCTTCTACCGAGTGGTTCTAGTGTTAACACAGAAGAAAGGGGCTACGGAATTTGCCTCTGCAACTAAGGAAAGCCGCTGAGGCCAGGCATGTGTCAGGGATGCCCCTGAATGGAGGCCCACTGGGCCCATTGTGTAAAACTGTGAAGTTGAAGCCTGGATTGCCTTAGAGACTCCAAGATGTTGGAGAAGCCAGGGCCATGGGATACCTCGTGAGGAAAGCTGCTAAAAGGGAGCAGAACCAGCCCAAGAGAAAGAAATGTGTTGCAGTCAACAAAGTTGAAAGGAATTGGAGATCTGAGGAGCATTTTGGCATCAGACATGGAGATACAGAGTTTGGAGTTTGCCCAGCTTGATTTTGGTCTTGCTTTGGTCCAGTATTTCCTCACTATGCCCCTCCCCTTTGTTTTGGAATGATAATGTATATCCTGTGCCATTATATGTTTGAAGTATGTGAACTGTTTTTTGATTTTGATTTTACAGGGGATTACAGTTAAGAGATTGCATGAATCTTGGAAGAGACTTTAAATTTTAGACTTTTAAATAAGTTTGAGACTATTGTAGACTATGGGAACTTTTGAAGTTTGATTGAATGCATTTTTGCATTATGATATGGCTACAAGCCTTTTGGGGCCAGGGAGTGGAATGTGGTGGTTTGAAAAAAAAAAAAGGCCCCAAAAGGGAGTGGCACTATTTGGAGGTAGGGCCTTGTTGGAGTAGGTGTGGTCTTGTTAGAGAAAATGTGTCACTGTGGAGGTGGGCTTTGAGGTCATATGTGATCAAGCCACACCCAGTGTCTCAGACCATTTCCTACTGCCTGTGAGTCAAGATGAAAGGATTCTCAGCTCCTGCTCGAGGACCATGTCTCCCTGCATATCACCCTGTCACACTATGATAATGGACTAAATCTCTAAAACTGTAAGCCACTTCAATTAATTGTTTTTCTTTTATAAGAAAATTGCCATGGTCATGGTGTCTCTTCACAGTGATAGAAACCCTAATTAAGAAAGATGTCTCTATCGTACACTGTCGTACTTTGGGTTACTATTTCTATGATAAAACACCATGATCAAAAGAAAGTTGGTGAGGAAAGGGTTTGTTTGGCTTGTGCTTCCATAGCCATAGTCCATCACTGAAGGAAGTTAGGAACTCAAACAGGGTGGGAGCCTGGAGGCAGAAGCTGGTGCAGAGGCCATGGAGGAGTGTTGCTTACTGGCTTGCTCCCCCTGGCTTTCTCAGGCTGCTTCCTATAGAACCCAGGACCATGAGCTCAGTTGTGGCCCCACCCACAATGGTTTGGATCCTCCCCCACCAGTCACTGATAGAGAATATGCCTTACAACCAAATCTTACAGAGGCATTTTCTCAACTGAGGTTCCTTCTTCTCAGATGACTTTAGCTTGTGTCTCGTTGACATAAAACTATCCAGCACAAACACCTCCCCTCAGGGCTCAGGGAGCTACACAGAAGAGGAGGTGGATAGTTTGTAAGAGCCAGGAGTGAAGGAGGACTCCAAGGAAGCAGTGTCTTCTAGGCAATACAGGGCTGATGAACAGATGAACTCAGAGACTGTGGTAGCATGCACAGGGCCTGCACAGGTCCAAGCCAGATGAGTTCCCAGAACCGAGAGGAGGGATTGGACATAGGGTTCTATTTCTACCCCCCAAAAACCCCTATCTGCTTGAAAAAGGAAAAATTAGTTTTCTCTGGTGGTGGCTCACTGGGTCTATCAACCACACTTCAGGGCAGGCCTCCTCCCCAGGAGGAGTTAGGCAACACTAAATGAACTCAACACTATTTAGTCTCATATTGCTTTGTTTAGGCATTTTTTTTGTCTTACTCATCTTTTGTTTGTATATTATGGTTTCTGATTTTATGTCTTTATGGGTATTATTTGTATGTGCATTTTTTTGTGATTTCTCTCTTCTAAAACATTCTGTTTTTGTTTATTGGTCTATTTTCTAAAGAGAGAGAGAAAAGAAAGGCAAGGCATGGAGTTGGATGGGTGAGAAGTGGAAAGGATCCAGAAGGTGATGGGGAAGGTGAAAGTGTGAACAGATTATATTCATGGGAAAAACATATTTTCAGTTAAAAAAAGAAAGAAAGGGGTGAGAGTTAGATATGCTTAGATATGTGAAGTGGCCACCTTTACGCCAGCCAGCCCTCCAAGAGTGTTATTCCCACTTTCCACAGACCACTGAAGATTAAGTTTGCACAGAATGACCCATCTAACAACCTCTACATTTGGAGGCCCCAGAGCCTTCTGGGAAGAAACGCATCCAGATCTTGAGTGTGAGTGAGAGAGAAAAAAGACAAGTTAGGAGATTATTCAAACCTTCAGGCTAAGGAAAGCCTAGCTATGTCTCTGGCGTGAGGGTGGGTGTTCCTCACCTCTGACTTTTCCTGTCCCATCTGCCCTGCCCTGGGAACAGCCCTCAGAGTTTCCAAGAGGTAGAAAGATTGTGTTCCTGGATGGCACACAACAGGAGCACCTGTCCGGGTTCTGAAGATTAAATCTTAGGCTTGTGGGCTTGTGACTCAGACTGGGGCTTGTCTGTGGTTCCGTTTGGTCCATAGTTCTGATCAGGGTCAGCACAGTAAGGCTGCCTTTCCATACCTGGGCTCCAGTGACCTGGAGCACATAAATAGCACTGTTGAGCTATTTTCACTAGAGAACATTGAATGGCCCCAGAAGACAAACACATTTGAAAGGATTACACTTAGGAACTGAAGATTAATCTCCTTGTATTTATTAGCTAGGAGTACCTGTTTGTTTTCTAGACTGGGTGTTTTGTATCCTTCCTTCCTTCCTTCCTTCCTTCCTTCCT